AAAATCCACTATCGATCGACCTCTACTATCTATTTAGCACATTTCAGTTCAGCACTGTTTTACTTGGAGTGTTAGTTTGTTTTTAATCCTGTATTCATTAAAAATATCGGTTGAATAACCGGTTATCGGCATGCATGGTCAAACCTAAATATCGGTATCGGTAAAATCCACTATCGGTCGACCTCTACTATCTATTTAGCACATTTCAGTTCAGCACTGTTTTACTTGGAGTGTTAGTTTGTTTTTAATCCTGTATTCATTAAAAATATCGGTTGAATAATCAGTTATCGGCATGCATGGTTAAACCTAAATATCAGTAAAATCCACTATCAGTCGACCTCTACTATCTATATATCTGTTCATTCAGATATCTATCTATCTATAATCTGTATGTATATCATTTGTTCTATCTATCTGTCTGTTTATAAATCTATCCATCTACGTACAAACTGTAATTTCCTGATCTTGTTTTTGTTGTGTTTTATTGTTCAGGCAGTCCATTAATCTATTCTCACTCATTGACTGGTCATAATTTCATCCTGTTACTTATGATTCAACACACCCTCCTTTGTTCGCCCTCACCCACCAGCTGTTTGGCATTGTGTGTGCACGTCAGTCTCTGGGGGAAGACACAGGAGTCGAGGTCAAATTAGGAGCCAAGAGAAGAATTTCCTTCCGAACGTCTTGGGCAGGTGCAGGGAGCTCATGCTAACAGATTCCTCCCTTGTCGTGAGACGGAAAATATGTCCGCGGACGCGGCTCACTCGCACGCGGGTTTCTTCGAGTGTTGATTAGTGCTAGTGTGAGAGTGATAGATTGCAGGATGTCATTACTTTGTTTTTTTGCTCTTGTATGTTAAATCACACCGCCTACCGCAGGCTGTAGTGTCTTTCACACACAAACGCAGGCATGTTCACTCCTAAACGTGTCCCTGTGTTCTCCATCGCATTATTAATGTGAATTCAAAGTTGGTCAAATAAGCACATGTGGTGCTTTAACACACACAAACATGACCTTTACCATAACAGCACGTCCATCTCTTACCCATACATGCACGTGCTGGTCCATCGATCTCAAACACATGTGCTTATTCATACACTCCCTCTCACACACATCATTACGAACACTTGCACACATCTGGCCATCACGCACACACACACACCCGTTTGCTCGCTCAGCTGTGACCCTAAGCCTCTGGGCTTACTTTAGGTCACTGGATCACGGGGTCAGTTGTAGGGTATGGCTGTAGTGTTCGCTCACGCTAGAGTTGGTGTCCGTCCCAGCATCTGTGTGTAAGTCTGCTTTAATCCTCCTCAGCTGCCAGCATACAGTCTATAACCCACGGCATTTCTCATTATGGCTAACTTAGCACGCTAGCCCACTGTATATATCTCACAGTATAGTGGCCATGAAGTATGTGTAATGTATTCCAGTCTAAATGGGGTATACCTATATTCTAGTGTATATGAGGTATACATCATTTATTGTACACTAATTTACACAAATATTCTAGTGTACAGGCTATAAATTATATATAGTTAAATAAATGGGCATATATTTGTTTGAGGAAATACATGCATGTGAAATATTCTAGTGTAAATGGGGTATAGATGTATTCTTACCTTAATGATATATGCAGTTACATTTCAGATATTTTTGTGGGTTATATGTCATAACTAAATTGACTCTAATATATTATAGTGTACATGGTGTACAGTAGGTGTCAAATGATAGTGTATATGAGGTATATATATTTTTTTATCATATGTTCTAGTTTAAATGATTTATCGTAGGAAGTATATATCATTCTACAGTACTTAAGATAAATATAACATAAATATGATTTTCTAGTATACATCTATAAATCATTAATGCTTAAGTTTTTTAATATCTAGTATATTATATGTGAGGTATCAGTTGTTCAAATGTGTATAAGTTTCATATTCTAGTGTAAGTTGGGTATTTATATTTAATAAATTGAATCCTTTAAGTTAAAAGTGATCTAAATGTTCATACTGTATATCCCCTTGATAAGGCAGTTGGTAGAAATAGTCAAATTAGGTCTATACTATATATATATATATATATATATATATATATATATATATATAATATTAATGTCCAGCTACTAAAAATGTTTAGATTTATATATATATATATATATATATTAATGTCCAGCTACTAAAAATGTTTATATATATATATATATATATATATATATATATTATATTATTAAATATAATAATTATATTACAGATTATATTATTAAATATAATAATAATTATTAAATATATTATTTAATATTATATATATATATATATATATATAGTTCATGCAAACAGCTTTATATATAAAGTGAATTGTAAAGATTTAAGGATGCATTCCCTGAGGTCTCACAAATGTTTATTCCTGTAGAATCATCCTGCAATTATTACTTATTAGTTTTCTGTAAATCACTCATCATAGAAGCATTTGTGTTCGACAGTCGCTCCGAAAGAACAAAATGAAACTGCGTTTGGTAGTCTAGAGTCTTTAGTCTGGCTATGTTTGGCCTTTATCTGTCTCAAGTGTTTAAACGAACACACACACTGCGTTTAGGGTTAAGACTGCAGTATTTCTGTTTCAGTTGTTCTTGGGTGGTCAGAGCTGACAGACACACTACACACGCTGCCGACGGATCATAGCCACACACACACCACAGTACAGTGCACAGTCTACACACACTTCTTTGTTTGTAACTAACTTTGGCAGGTGAAATGGTGAACGGACTACATGTCACGCTTTAGAGCGAACTATATTAAACATCAACTGCTGAATGCATGAAACCTTCACACACGTGTTCTGACATAAAGGCTGCCGCTCCCCTGTGTTCGTTTATTTAGAGCCCTTGTGGAGCTTGATGGATCGTAGATGCATGTAATGTAGGTCGTAACCCTGAAAATATTAAGAATGCAAATGCATGTTTTTTTTTTTTTTTTGTATAATACAGCATCCATTACCCTTCTATCTATAGATGGCCTCCATTTATTCATGCAGTTTTGTAAAGACCCCTGCTTAATGCTCTTTATTTCTTTGGTCCTGATGTAGCCGCTGCTTTTATCCTGTTTGGCTTCATTTCCCAGACTGCATACTTTCGTGTGTTTTTTTTTCATGTATTATTCACAAGACACATTTACTTTAAAAATGATAAGTAGTACAACCTATTTTTGCAAATCAGCTCTCTTTGAGTTAATGTAAATGTTTAATTTGCAGGAAGTTTACACATTAAGTATTCCAGTTGTAGAGTTTACCTTCTTCCTAATGATTTTGCTAATGAGCGAACCCAACCTGTAAAAAAGACAGAATAATACGTCTTTGGCTGAAACCCAACAGCCAGACCCTGTTGTGTTCACTAGTATGGAATGATGGTTTGTTGGTTTCCTTGCAAGGCTTCCTAACTAGCTTAACCTGCAAAACTTTGAGAAACTAGCTTCAAAAGAAGCATGCTGGTTGGCAAATTTCGCTTGGGAGTGTCATTGGTTATGTTGGTTGGCCAGTTAGACCATGAAAATTTCCGTTATTTACTCGCCCTCCTGTTTTTACAAACTCGTATGCTTTTTTATTTACGCCATGGAACAAATACTGAGAATTTTAAAACCCTCACCACATTCGTCAAGCTCCAGAAAAGGCAAAAAACAACTCCAAGTAGTCAAGTACTCAAAAACAAGTAGTCATATTTGATTATAAATCACGTTATGACTATATTTCAAGTCATATGATAGTCTTGTGATGAGCAAATGAAAATTTAAGTCATTATCCTTCCACTTTTCCGCAGCAAAAATGGGACGAGAGTGTACTTGAATTTGACTGAAGTCAAATAATTAAAGGTACAATATGCAAGATTGTTTCGCCACCAGGGGTCGCAAACCTCTTACAATAACAAAGGTGTACATTAATGACGTATATTCTGCATTAAGCGGAATTATGGATCTTGTCGTCAAGCTGATGGATCTTTAATGGATGAGTTAATACAGTGATGTTTTTAACATGACTGGAGTAATGAAGCACACTCAACGCGAGTCCCACGGATATACATGGAATAAGGACATTTAATTGTACTGAACTAGACGCTGAGACACAGGTCAGTTTATTAGAGGAATTAAACTTGAGGTAACGCAGCGCTGCTTCACTTGCTCTAACAGTTTCACTAACACACTAAGCGGCATTTGTGCGTGTTGAATGTTAGTTTGTTGGCTGTATGGGACTAAGCTGGATCAACATTAGAGAATAACATACAGATCATATTCTAACTTTTCATCATGTTGAACTATACAACATTGATTGGTTTTATATACAGTACATTGATTTGTTCACCTGTTTGCTAAGTCGAAGTTAGCCGCGGATGTCGAGCTCTCGGTATCTGGAAAGATGTTGATCTTCATTCTAGTCCTCTTTTTGTCTCAAAGTCTGCTTGCCATGGTCCATAATGTTTGAACAAAACCCTGCTAGGGACGCTCACGCTGTTGGGCACGCATAACAGGCATAACCGACCCAGTTGTCCACGTCTGTCGCCATGGTTACTATTGCAGTACGAGGTCAAACCTGGCGGAAACCGAGGGTAACGCGGATATGACGTCATTGACCGGCGACTCCTCACCCCTGCTCACACGCCCCGTTTCCTTGGTTAAAAATCGCAATTTTCTCACGATTTACAAATAGTTGGAAACATTTGGGATATTGTAAGTAATCAACTAAACAAAATATATAACATTGGCCCTGTGTTTTTTTTTATATATTTAACTGCAAAAATCCTGCATATTGTACCTATAAGTAATCGTAAAGTCATAAGACTTCCAATGTATGAAATAACATTTATGCAATTTGTCAATTTATTGTTTTGTATTCCATAGAAAAAAAACAACAACATTATGGTGGGTAAATACATTTTTGACCAAACGATTCCTCTAAAAATCTTAGCCTTACTAGTTCCTTCATTAATAACAATGGCTTCGGTTTTCCAGGAGGATGCCCATGGAGGACTACCCGAACCAGAGAGACATCGGCCATTACCCGAACCCCATCTACGAGACCCATCGAGACGACTATCCTTCACGCTCTCCCCGGTTGCCCGTACCCAGACCCACGGAGGCCACGGGAGGTGACTACCCTTCATATCCAGCGCAACAGAGGGGTCCCATGAGGTACGATATCCCACCCTCGTCCAACCCAGGTGCCAGAGGACCACCGCGATATGAAACGCTAAACCAGGGGAACTATCGGACGGCCAGTCCTGATCGCTACGGGTCATACGGAGACGAACAATACCAAGATCCCCGGCAGAAAAACCCAATCGGAGCTGTCTAGAGGAGGAGGAAGTAGGTTTGTGCTGAAAAGGCAAGTGGTTGTGTAAAGTAGGTAATGTTGGACACTGAAGGAACAATCTAATGAATTTTTTAGACTTATGAGAAGAAAAAGCTAATAAAATTGGCTTGGAGTAGCCATCGATTACTGATTAATTAATAAACTTTGTGAATTTTTATTATTATTATTATTAAATGTCAGCCATTTTTCCTCTTAAATAGCAGGATGGGATGTGTGTATTGCTCAGTTTCTGGACATCAACTCAATTTTACGCCAGTCAGTTAAGTTTGAATTGTACAGCTTTACGAAGCATTTAGGGTTGTATGTACATTTTGCATGTGTTTAATTCATGACACCACACAAATGTGGATATGATGGTCTGCTGTGGTTCGTATGGCCATTTATGCCCCTAGTTGTACCATTCGTTTTGTTGATGATGTCATTGGTAGCTTCTAATTATGCTACGATTTTTCCAGAGTTGTCTGTTTATGTATCGGGTGCCTTATGCTAAATCGAGAAGGTTTTAAGTCTGAAGAAATTTACCATCAGTTTACTTATTTTGTGGTTGAAGAATGTTTTTTCTTTTAGATTTTTATTGCATTTTGTTGCCTTTGCAGGAACCTTGTCATCCTACAACACTTCAGTTAACGTGAATCAATCCTAAAGTGTTTTTGTGCAATGTTTAAGGGTAATATTCTCTTTCTATCCCTTCCTCCTTGATTAATTTTTGTTAAACTTTTCTGGGATCCAAAAACAAGGAAAAGGGCGAGGTAACACAAATGTCTGATCTGATCTCAGTCTCGAACAACTGTTTTGACTTTTATCTTAGGTTTGAGATTTTAACGTTCCTGGCATCTGTTTTATCGTAGTGTGAAACGCTGCCCCCTAGGCGCAGTACAACTTGTTTCGTAAAATCTGTTTATGTAGTTAAAAGACACATTACCAGGAAATACAGGATCCCGTACGAACCAACTTCGAAAACAAACGTAATGAATTTTTGCACCTACTTTATATTCAGTTTTGCACATTTAATGCCTGAGTGAAGTGGTTTGCAGTAAAATGGATGGATTGAAACTGGAGATGCTGAGAACATGCAGAATACAGTACATGACTTTTTTTTTTATCTTGTACACATGCTACTCATAAATCAACTTAATACTATGTATGGATATTCAATCGATGTTCAATCTTGTGTCGGTCTCGTCACTGAAAAGATAATATTTTTTATATCACATTTTTTTCAAAAATCTATCTTTGTGTTTATTTTTTATTCTACTGGAATTTTTATTCTATTTTAATGTTTTAATTTAATCTTTTAATATATGTTTTTCTTTATTGACGGCATTTAAATGATTTTTTTTTTTCAATTTATTATAAACTCAACAGAAGAGAAAATATTGTGCATTTTTCTTATTTAGTCTTTATTTGTAAAAAATAAATTAGGTTTTTTTTTTTTTTTTTTTTGCTCTTATATTTTTATAAAAATCAAGATGCTGGTCTGCATAACTTTCGGTCTGTTTTTATTTTTTAAAGCGGTGCAAATGTTGTATTAAATGGGAATAAATGTGTGTCACTACACACGAGATTTACCAAAAATGAATCTAGATGTTATTGGCCTCAATTTTGCGGCAAATAAAATGGTTGTGACATCAGTTACGAATGGTTACGACATTTTGGTACCTTATTTGTTTATTTTAAATCAAATATTGTATGTTTATTTGTAAATAAAATGGTGTTTTGGTTTATGACAGATTGATAATGACCTCAGTTATGATTACATCCCTCAGTGAAGCTGTTTCGTGTTCACTGTTCTATTGTACAGTCGTATAGCTTCAAATTCATAATGATGACTGAGTGAACATACTTATCTAACATTACTGATAATTACTCCAGCTGATTAGTTCTAATTCATCCTCTACCAATTAAGCTACAGAGGGCTGCGCTGAAGTTATTAGGGTCTAATGGACCTATTTGGAAATCTTGCTGATAAGGAAATTGGCATTAAAGTGTTTGCATATATCTGGGCAGAATTTCAGTTTAATTAACCCGTGGATGAGGAGAGAGAGATGTTAGGTGGGAATAATGCATTGTGAGAGCAACAAAAGGTTGATCTAATCTGAAAAGAGAGAAAAGAACTGTATCTCTTGTGTGATGATGTCAGTTTAATCTTTATTATTTAGGGACAGGACCACCACGTGTGGATATCAGGATCTGCCTTATGTTCTGCACTCCTTCTCCAACAGCGATTTATGCTCTTGTAAAATGTAATGTATTTTATACTATGTAGACTTATACTCAGTTTTTTTTTTAAATGGATAAAGAAACTAGCATTTGTTTTCAATACAATAATCTTGTACAATAATCAACAGAAAATATTGTTAATCATGTTTTAACTTTGACTCATTGATGCATTTTATTTGCTTAAAAGTGAACGTTCATTTTCTATCAAGTGCTCATCTCACTGGGATCTGGCATGTTGTGTGACCTCTTACATTCTGCAATTTTCTTCCGATGTTTATTAGTTTTAAGTCAACTACATACAGACTTAACAAAAGTACAGTTGCTAAAATTTGTTTAAAGGGATAGTTCACTTTGAAAATAATTTTTGATGTTTTAGCTTACCTCAAAGGCATCTTAGATGTACAGTAGGTGTCTTTGTTTTCGAAGTAGTTTCAATTTTAATATTTTTAGGTCAAACCGTTCTTGTCTGTCATTCATATAATGGAGGTCTATGGTCACCACCTCAAAGAGCATGCACAGAGTAGTCCAAATGAAACATGATTTAATGACTCGTAAATGTAAGTACACATCAATGGCATAAGACACGAAACGAGCGGTGCATGCTCTTTGAGGTGGTGACCATAGACCTCCATTATATGACTGACAGACACGAACGTTTGACCTAAAAATATTAAAATTGAAACTACTGTGGAAACAAAGACGCCTACATCTTGGATGCCCTTGAGGTAAGCTAAAACATACCAAAAATTAATTTCAAAGTGAACTATCCCTTTAAAGGGGCTACATGTACAGGTAGGATTCAGAAACCCTTGTTATAGCAACATCGGTGGCCGTTTAGTGAACTGCTGCCAGCAACACGTAACATACACACGACTAAACGCGATTCGAGGCCCTGATATACTCACGGGGAAGTTCTTTTTGTTTTTCAGAATAGCTCTTTCTGCATTATCCTGAACATTGTAAACATTCATCCTGAGTCCTTCACATAAAAATAAGTTTACACGATTTCATAGACAACCTAAGAAGTCGGGGACGGTCTTGATTTTAAAGTTTCGTTACAAGATGTTCGCACACTGGCGATTAATACATGAAAATTTGTAATTAATAATTAAAAATGTCTTTGGGATGTGCTGGAGTAGACACAGGGGGCTTGACTATTGTAATAAAGATGTTGTGTTGTCAATGCAAGAGTCCAGCACTCTGTAAAGTCACCTCCAGCACATCCCAAAAACGTTAAATGAGTTTAAGATCTGATGCCAATTCATGTGTGAAAATGATTGTTCATGCTCTTCAATTTGAGCCGGATGAATCTTGTCATCCTGGAATATGACCATGGTGTGTATTCCTACATTGTTGTTTAAGAAATGAAATGCTACACACTCCATAAATTAGGCTTAGAAGAACTGTTGCCAAACATTACATGTCAGAAACATAATAATCTCTGCAATAATGATCCAATTAAGCATTTTCCTGTTTCAATCCATACAGTTAATTTTTTTCAGCCGGGCAGTGTAAATATAAAACGAAATAATCAGTTTTTAAATTAATAAGTAAAAATATATATATACAAAAGTATACGCTGACTGACAATTATTTTTGAAGTATTGGACCTCTCTCACTACACCAAATTTAATATACTACTAAGACTCATGTACCATTCCCTATAGACTCCCTGTAATGGCCTTGAAGCTCTCGATGACCTCACTATGAAAATGAAATGCACATTTCATCCCTCTGTGTTCTTGTACTTCACAGTCATCAACCGTTTATTTCAATTATGTGCTCTCCTTTCATTGGCGAGTCTCATATCCATGCTGATCTTGCCAGTTGAGTAGATTTTGCTCATTTCATTATGCGGCCATTATAAGAGACTCCAGCAAGACGTTATCAGCGTAGCCTCAGAACAGACCAGCCAGAACAAATCCTGGCCTGCCCTTCACCTGCCTTAAATATTGCATGCAAGAGCCTTCAGTCACGAGTGGGTCATGTAATTGATAAGAGCACACCTGTTTTACAGCCAACACACTCGAAGACATCCGGTGTGGTGAAGAGTTGGGTCCCACCTTAGGACCCAATAGTATGCCAGTAGTATGCCTGATCTAAATATGTTCTCGCTATAACTTGATAAAAACAGTTTGTTGCCATCAAGTAATATGTTTATTTGTTTAGCGCTTTTCAAGTAATACGTTTATTTTGTTTAGAGCTTTTCATAGTAGGTTGCGTCAACAGCATAGGAGAAAGTCCGCGAAATTTAAAAATATGACTGTTATTGTGTCATGAAATGAGTTTTTTAGTCGAGAATGTAGTTGTTTAAAGCTCAAATATGTGGTTTATTTACTATCTAAGTACTATCTATCTTTTATCTACTATGCAAGCTAACTAAAAACACTAAGAACGAGAAATGTTTAAATTTACAATCTACAGCTTCGGTTATATACTAGTATATGAAACATATAAGTTAAAATACATTAATGACTCTTTATAACGTACTTCAAACGTCTCTTATAAAAAAGTGATTTTCTCTAATTTGTAACCAGGCACTAATGCGATTACCCATAAAACTAGCTTTGAACCAATTGGATCGCTTGGGTCCTAAGGTGGGACCCATCTCTTCACCACACCGGCCTGCTTTTAACTCAGAAATCTGATGCTAACCGAAATATTGTTTGCTGAACAATTTTGACATTGAGCACTTACTGATCAATCTTCAGTGCATTCTATAAACTAGGAGAAGGGTCAATTTCTAGAAAACACACCTAAACATCTATTAGGCTGCAGATTCAGTTAATTCACACACACACATTTTACCATGCAAACTTTTAAAGATGCTTATAGACCCGGACGTGCATGTAGATCAAGTTCAGTTATACATACATTATATTATACATTAAATGACTGCATTGCTGTAGCTATTAGCAAGATGTTATTAGATACAACCGATGTCTACAACAATGACTAAACGGCTAACATTACCAACAGCCCACATGACTGAGGTGACGTCAGCCAAAGTCATTTTAACCGCGATCTTCATACTATTGATCATTGATCAAGAAAATAGTCCTTCACTTAGAATTGAATAGATTATCAATGATGTATGCGTATTTACATTTTGCGGTATGAGAAGCAAAGGTCAAGTCAAATCGTCCTCATTTAGAATGACACGAAGCTTAATTTAGATCTATAGTACTTCATGTACACACACACACACACACAGCTAATGACCTTCCTCAGCTGACCGGCTGGCATGGGCCGTTGGAGGTGCTGCCAGGTGTTTTGGTTGACAGAACAGCGCGGGCTGCTCGCGTCCCACATTTCAGCCGCAGTATCGGGTTCCTGCATCAGGATAAAAGGAACGCTCCTATTAGCTTAGTGCTAAGAGCTGCGGCCGGCAGCCAAGAGATGTGTATCTAAGACTCGCTGCATTGGCACTGATGTTGGGAATGCCATTTTTCCTTGCACACAAAGTACTGTGGTAATACCAACACTCTTAGAAGAAATGGTTCCATCCCCCGCTTCATATATGGAACTCCAAAATTCCAAAACTCCAAAAATTTTTGGTAAAAGGTTCTATTGGCCAAGTATGGAACCCCAGGGTTCTATATAGAACACAGAGGAACCCTTTTTTTAAGAGTGCATAGAACCTTTTAGGGGTTCCAAATAAGTAGTGCTGATAGAACCTTTTAAGGTTCTATATAGAACCTTTTCTTCTAAGAGTGAAGATATTCACTGAAGTATCATTTTAGTATGTGAATATGGTACTTAATTACTACTTAAGAACCCAAAACTATGCTAAAACGCTAAAGGGTGCCATGTGCGTTGAAAAAAAACGCTAAAGGGTGCCATGTACGTTGGATGTATACAAATTGTCAAAAGCATCAGTATATGACGCCTTGGGATGAGAACGGGATGGTGTTACAAAAAATTTTGGAGTACCATGAACATACCATGGTATTGTCATCTGATACCATAATTGTACTATGGTACTACCGCAGTGTATTTTATCACTGTACTTTTAGAAGTAACTCGTACTTTGACATTCCTAATTTA